ATCATCATCAATCACCTATCATCACTCATTCATCATTCCTCTCCACCTCCACTCCTAATCATCCCACCCTCGTCGCCAACTCCTCCCACCCTCTCCCTCCCTTCCCTGTTCCTTTCCTCCAGCTTTCCCTATCCGTCTATTCTTCGCTCCTCCCTATATCCCCCTCTCGCCTCTGCTTTCACCCTTCTCACACTCTCTCATTATTACTCTATCCCCCTGTCTCTCCCTCCAATCGCCTCCCGTCAGCTCTTTTCCTTCCTTGTGATGTGTCGTTGTACATTTCTCAGTCTTTTAATTAAAGATACATTTTTTTTTGTTGATAGCGGATGAGGGCGGGGAGGGGGGCAGGGGTGAGGGGAGAGGAGGAGGGATTTATATTTTGGGCTGGAATTTGTTTCAATTTTATGGTTGATTGAGGAGAAAATGATAGAAAAATTGTTCTTTGGGTTAATATACTGCTATTACGGCCATGTCGGAGGTTCTGGTAATTATAGTGTCTTCTATCTATCTGCGTTAATCTGTGTTCTTTTCTGTTCTTTGTGCATGTGTTTGTTTATGATATATATCACACAGCACACACACACTACCTCAACGCGGCGCCACGAGCTACGCACACACACACACAACACAGACACACACACATCGACCACTATCCAACAAACTCACACAGACACGACATCATACGGAACACACACACACACACACACACACACACTCGACACACTCACATATTCTCACACACACATCACAACACACACCATACACACACACAATAATCAAAATTTATTACATATTAAGTAAATTTATTAAGTATATAGTATATATATATTAGTGTATGCTAATTAGTAGGTATAGATCTAATTGTAATAATTTGTATATATTATTACAGCACACACACACACCATACACACGAACTCACATCGACCACACTAGACACTATCACATTATTCTAATATCTTATAATATATTTATTAGCCTATAATTTATTATAATATGCAATATTCTACCCCTCTAATATAATAAAATAAGTTCATATAAATGAACAGATTTTAATGAAAATTTTACCAGACGTGTTTCTAACTGACATTCCATTAAATTTTGGTGTTGATCTAGGAATGCGAATGTTTTAATTGCTTCTAGTTATTATTATTGTTGTTGTTTTTATTGTTATTATTATCACTATTACTAGTATTGTTATTACTATTATTATTTATATCATTACCATTATTGTTATTATTGTTGTTATTATCATTATCATTATTGCTTTCATTGTTATTACTATTACTATTGCTATGATGATGATGATGATTATTATTATCGTTATTATTATTATCATTATTATCATCACTGTTATTATCATCAGTTTGTCGTTACAACTGTCATCGCCATCGTTATCATTGTCATTATCATTATGATTATCATCACCATGTCTTTATTAATATTACTACTATGATTATTCCTATTATGAGCATCATCTTTTTACCATTACCACTGTTATTATTGCCAAGGTCACTTTCATTTCCATCATTTTGTTGTTATTACTATTATTAACATTATCTATTTATTTATCTATTCTTCCTGTAGTTATTTTGTGATTAAAATGCATCTCTTGTATTGCGAAGATGTTCATTCTCATTCATACCTTTTCCACAGTGATTATTGTTTTTATAACGAATATTCATGTGAATTTACCTCTTGTTTCTCCCCCTTTTTTCTAGGTTGTTCCTCTGATGGTTACGTAGCAGCTTCCCACAGTTCCCGGGTCTAGTTTGTTACGTAGCTTTAATCTTGGTTTTATTTTTTTTCTTTCATCCTGCTGTTTTGTTATTTTTGTTATTTTTTTGTTTTGGGGGGGTTTGTTTTTCATTTTTTCATCACCCTTCCCCTTCCCCTGACCCAGATCCATTTTTTTTTTTTTCGCTTTTTCTTCCTTTTTATTTTTTTTACCTTCTCTTCCACTTCCGCGCCCTGGTCTCCTTCCCCTCCCTTCCTCATCCCCCCCCCTTGTTCCCTCACTCCAGTATCCCCCTTCCCCCCTAATCCCCCCCCCCTAATACCCCCTCCGTCATTCTCCTGACGTACCCCCACCCCCCCTCTCGACGATGGGCAACAGCTACACCCGCGAGGATTCGGTCGACTCGGGCGGGCGGAGCGGCAGTTCCCGACGCAGCAGCTTCCTCAGGAGGTACAACAAGTCCTTCAAGTCCCGCGACTCCGAGAGCCTCAGGGGTTACTCGGAGGACGAGGCCACCGACAGCGACCGGGAGAGGCCCCTCGAGGGTGACCTCGGCAGGAGACTGACGAAGCAGAGGACCATCGAGGCGGCCCTCGGCGGAGCGGACGAAGAGAGGAAGGAGGCGGAGCAGAAGAGGGTCGAGGAGGACGAGGAGAGCGAGGAGCCGCCGGAGGAGCTGACGGAGGAGCAGAAGGAGACGGTGAAGCGGACCTGGAAAATCATCGAGGAGAGCGTCGCTAAGGTCGGCGTGGTTCTCTTCATGGGGTGAGTGTGACTCTGGGGTTCCTTGCGGCTCGGCTCTTGGGGTCCCTGGGATGACAGCATCACGGCCTTTGCTCCTCGCGTCCTGATCGACATCATGAGCATCGTCCCCTTCGTCATATGTGTTGCTCTGAGCGTTTTGTTGCTATCATTTTCATTAGCAATACTGCAATACCAATGCTACTGATGTCATGTTAGTATTATCATTACCATTATGATTATCATTACCACTAGTATATTAATGTCATGATATATACTATTACTGTCCTTGAGAGAAAGAGTTGAGAACGGATATAAGGGAGAGAGAGAGAGAGAGAGAGAGAGAGAGAGAGAGAGAGAGAGAGAGAGAGAGAGAGAGAGAGAGAGAGAGAGAGAGAGAGAGAGAAGAGAAGGAGAAGAGAGAGAGAGAGAGAGAGAGAGAGAGAGACAGACAGGAGAGGAGAAGAGAGAGAGAGAGAGAAGAGAGAGAGAGAGAGAGAGAGAGAGAGAGAGAGAGAGAGAGAGAGAGAGAGAGAGAGAGACAGAGAGAAAAAGAGGAGAGGGAGAAGGCAGAGAGAGAGAGAGAGACAGAGAGAGAAGAGGAGAGGGAGAAAAGCAGAGAAAGAGAGAGAGGAGGATGAAAAGGGACAGAGAGAGAAAGAAAGAGAGAGAACTCAGAAATTTCACGAAGTAACCATTCCTCCCTTTATAATGTTGACAGACCTGTCAGTTGAAATAAAAGCTGTAAGCCTCGGGGGAAACGGAAGTAGGAATAGAATTCGACAGTCAAGGAGAACAAAACCAGTGAGCTTACTGCGAACGTAGAAAAAGGCTTGAATGTGAATTAATTACTAATTTTTCTTCCGATATTTAATCATCGGAATTGCCCCATTAGCTGATGCTGATGATGGGATGTGATAATCTTAATTACATGCCTTACCTCCTGAAGAAATCATAGGTGATGGTGCAGAATGGTGCAGATCTTTTCCCAGTTCCTCCTGTGTTATCATATACTAGTGAGTGCTGAGCTGATAATGATATTAGTAAAGAGACAAAATATAGCCCTCTCCTCTCCTACTATGATCACCACCCATATACACACACACACACATATACATATGCCATTACAACCTACGACTTAATACTATATACATACTAACTTTCTCGTCGTGATTCTGCTCCTCTCTCTCTATAACATACTCTGATGCTCGTCTCCTCCTTCCTTAACACCTTCAAAGTTTCATCTCTCTCTCGCGCATCCCTTCTTCGTCTTCTCGCTGCTTACAACTGTTTTGCGGCTCCTGCTGAAATACTCTATAATACTCTGTATTGTTGTTATTTTCTTTCCCGCTTTCATTATCTCTCCTGGCGTACATTTTACTTAGATACAATGACGTTTACTTCTGTTGTTGGTCTCTTTCATTTTCTCTCTTATTTATGTCTCCTTGTCTCGTGTTAATCTCGTTACTCGCATTGCTAACTCTCATGATAGCTCGTCGCGTCTCGATGCCATGGAGTCATTCCGACAACTCGTATCTCTAGGATAAAATTACAGCTGTTATATTCCAGATCTCTCTTCACTTTATACGACATCAAGAGTGTGGATGAGCGGATAAATACACGTTCAGAATAATAGAGACACGCACATTACCATATCGTCAAAATATTAAGTGGGATTCCTCTCACTCTTGTGATACTCCACAATTATCCTGAGAATCTACACTTCTCTCAGGATTAACTCATATCAAAAATACATCACTCTCATCTAAACGGACATAAACACAATGCGGATACATACATCAAAACATAACATCACATCATACACTAGTCGCACTAATACAACAAACTCCATACAATACCTATAATTACAATTGCACATCACTACTCCACCTTCCATCTACCTACACCTCCAAATCCAAAATCTATCCCATCACTCTCACATACTCCCAAATATGATACACTACAATATCTTAAATCCCAAACTCACCACATACTACCATCCTCATATCAATCTATATACTATCCAATGCACAAACTAAATCACCTCCTAATCTCCTCCAATCCTCCTCTTCCCCCTCAACAGAATAATACACACGATCACACACAATCTCGCGCCCTCCCTAAGCACACAAAACACACATTCACATAACATCAACTATTTCAACTCCACGCTAAACAACACGAGTACACACTCTCAGCGAGACATCCCCCCCCAAACACACACACACACACAACCCCCCCAGAATAGAAAAAACGAGCACGATACACATTACTACGCCCAGTACATTGTAAAAAATTATTAACTAACCTACACACCACAACCCCCCCGAGACATAACACAGGCATTACTCGCTAACCTAGAACCACACAGTTCACATACAACCCCCCCTCCAAGAGAGGAAAAAATAAAAAAAAACCAGACATACAATATTACAACCCCCCCCACCCAAACCCTCGCGCAAAATAAACGTAGCTCACTATTGTCACGCAAACACATTCCCATACACCCTCTCCTCTCCACTCAAACGCTCACATCCCCCCAAATAAAATAAAACAACCCAGAAAAAATAAAAATATAAATAAATCCAAAAAAAAAAAAATTACCCCCTTACCGACACATACTTAGTTCAATTTCTTTCAAAGCGATACACAGAAAAAAAAAAGAAGCAACACTCGACCCGCCCACTTACAAACATGTATCTGAGACCCGCATCGACCAAACACGTCAAGGAGGAACATGAAATCTAAGAGGCTCATAGATCCTTTGAAGACAGAAAGAAGTGCTTATAAAAGTGATAAAACTCGACGCATTATTTCCTTTATTCATTGGAAGGGGGCGATTTAAACCCTTGGCCGTAAATATAAGATCCAATACTATAAATGGTGGGAGGATACATAGGTCGTATATATATGGAAGGAAAAATTAGTCTATCATAGATGTCTCATATAAAAGATAGACACATGATTCTGGACGCTTTATGAGAGGAATATTACCAAAACCCTTTAGCTTTATTATATAGAAACTTGCTTATTAATTTGATCTTGTAATTGTATTTAATGTAATAATTCAGAATTATGTACAAATTACTAAGTGTAGATATACTTACTAATAAGCCACCACACAATAGCACGCGAGCACCCTCACGGCACACACACACTCCATCCACACACAATCTTTACAATCATCCCGAGCCGAGCACCACACTTACAAACCCACCACCACCCCCAACAACACACGCACACAAACACACACATAGTGGGTTCGTGATTATTTGTAGTGCGTGAAGAAGAATAAGGATATATGATCAATCTGTTGTATTCCTTTTCTTTTCGTTACATTTTATTTTCCTTTACCTCTTTTCGGGCCCTTTATCATTGTCTCTCCGTTATTATCTATTACATTCATATCGTGTCTAACTCGAATCATTTTCACTTGCCTCCGTGCAATTCTTCTTTTTTAATGATCTGCGTATTTTAATTCTTCTTAGGAGTTGTTAGTGAAATAGCTACATTGTTTTGTTATTTATTTCTTCTCGTATTATTGTCCAGTAAAAATCATTTTTTCAGTCGTTCTTTCATATACCTCTTCTTCGGTCAACCTTAGTCGTTTCGTTTATCTTTTTTTGTGTTTTGTTTTGTTTTACCTCCTTACTTTTTGTCCATTACTACATATCTCTCTCGTGTTGGTCTTTCCTGTAGTACATTCTAAATCTTACGTTTGTCTTTCTTTTTTTTTTCTCTCTCTCTCCTCTTACACTCGTGGTAGGCAAGAATTATATCCTGAACGTACTATATTTTTTCTCCTATTTTTCTCGAGCCCATCTATGTATTCTCGAAGGTCTTAATCATATAATCTAAATCTACCCTTTGCAGAAATTTCTTTTTGAGACAAGACTTTCTTTTATGGTGTTCAAAAAAATTAAAGAAAAAAGAACACTAAAAAAAGAATATTAAGTGATATGAAATTAAACTCCTGTAACACTTCTTTTTTGTTTTTTTTTATTACTTGCTCTCAATCGGCTCTTGCGCGTGTGAATCTGTTGGTTGTTTTCTGAATGTTTTTGCATAACATTTGTAATAACTGTTCTCCCTAGTGAGACAGGATGAAAGCAGCCGCTTAATATAATGGACATTGTGAATGCACTCGTATCACTCATCAGGTCATGGACTAAAGATGACAACACCCACACACAGTCGTAGTTAACACACACCACACCTACACACACACACACTAGCTCACAACAACCAACCTCAACATTCCACTCACATTATCATTACCATATACTATCCACACACCAAGATCAACTCCCCACCTAAATCGCCCAACCATCTACATCCAATTCACCAAGAATAATATATAATGTACATTTATTCACTCAATTATTACTTAGCTAATTACTAATTATTATCTCATATATAATAATCTATAATTATACATATATATCATTATTAATGTAGTAGACCGGATATTAATCATATATTCATATAAATTCAATCTATACTTATCATTAATCACTGTAGTGTATATTTAATCTCATTCATAATTCATCTAATCTATGCATTTATTACTCTATACTATAGTGTGTGAATATGTATTATTAGTGAATATATCTATCTAATATTACCTACTAATTCATAATATTCATCATCATCTCTATATTTTACATATTAGGTGTTATCGTAAATACCATCATATATATCATTCATTTATATACTAATTACCTATGTATAACTTATTTAATTCTATCAACTCAACATATTATCATGGTATATAATTCATATCAACCTGGTCTATATTTGATTACATAGAGTCGCATCAACTTACATTGCTTACTTATATCTCTCTATAATATATATACTCAATATAGTCAATACAATAGGATAATATTATGTCACTCACATTGATTATTTATCACTTAGGCTTGTGTAGTTCATATAGAGGGAGTAACCTATACTATATAATCTCTTTTGTGATATATAATATATAGTATAATGAACAACCCCTCCACTACTCCCTGTATCTC